TTTTTTAAGGGACCATAAACCACAAAAATAATAATGAAAATTGAATCTTTTAATAGAAGAACAAAGATTCTTATTAAATATAACAATAACTACTTGTTCTAATGTATTTGTTTATATAATATACAACTTAAATAACTTTTATAGTATATTATTAATTTTATATTATATATTTAATAATATAATATATATGTAAATATTACATATATTATTTTGTGATATCAATTGCAAGCATATTATATATGTACATATTATTTATATTTTTAATTTGTATTAATATACAGTTTAATATGTAATTTTTTATATATTTTTTACAAAATAAAAATAAAAATAATTTTAAATAAGATAGAAAAATTGAAATTTAAAATAAGATATAAATTTATTAAAATTTATAAGTATAAAATATATTTAATATGAATATTTTTTTAATAAAAATAAATAAAAACTGAGTCATGCGGTTCAACTAGTGACCCACCGGTTCAACCTTTGACCCACTGACCCAGTATCTTAACCGGTTCGATGACCGGTCCGATTTTTAAACCTATGGTTATAGGTGATAATCTTTTAACAACTTTGGTCCAATTTTATTTTTACTAACAGGAAAAGAGGGAAGAGACACTTAATTTCTTTTAAAAAATAATGATCCATTAGAATTTAAAAAAAAAATCAATTTCTATAAGCGCTGGAACATTTTGAAGGGACTATTCTTTGACATAAACCTTTTTAGGGATTCTTATAAATTCTTATTCTATTTTTTATTTCTTATATTTATTTATAAATTAAATTTATCATTTTAAAATAAATTATTAATAATTAAAAATAATTTTATGTAATAATATAAATTTTAATTTAAAATATAAATTATATATTTAAAATATTTATTTATACAAATTTTAAATATAATTTATATGTTTAAATATAATATTTATTTTATATATTTTACTTATATATAATAAATATCTGGCACGTGATAAGAAAAGATTAAAATAGTAATAAAAATAAAATAAGAGAATAAATAATAAATACATATTTTAAATATATAAATTATGTTATATTTAAAATTTGAAATAAATAAATATTTCCAAAATATAACATATATTTAAGATTTGTAATAAATAATTTGTTATAATACGATATTTTTAAATATGGATATTTTTTTAAAAATATCATCTAAAAATAATGATGAAAATGATATAATATAAATGGAAAAAGTTTTTAAAAAAACATTTCGTTAAAGAACTTCTAAATATATTCTGGTCAAAGAATAATGTTTGAAAAGATTACCTTTCTATATAGTTATTGTCTATAAAAATAAATAAATTTCAATTAAAAAACACCTGTATTAATGAATTATTTTAATCGAATAATATCAAAATTTGATTTACACTTAAAAAATGTTAATTAAATATTATATAAAAAAATATGACAAAATTATTTAATAATAAAATAAAGTTTTAAAATTATTTGAAATTTGAAAGTGGGTGTTGAGTTTGAGAAAAAGCGGAAAGTAAAATGATGTGAGGTGCAGAGTGTGTGAAATGGATAGATCTGTTGAGGCGATGGTATTGGGCGAGGGAAGGACACGTGGCAAGTTGCCAATCTCACAAGATCCTTTTTCCTCCGATATATCCTCTCTCTTTTCTCCTCGCCTACCGCCACGACACGTGACCACTCACACCCCTCACGTGTCCTGCTCCCATCTCACAAGGTATCTTTCGCTCCCGTGCTTTCTGGTACCTTCACGCGCAATCCCCATCGCACCGTCCGTTCCCCCACGCCCCAGCGATCGCAGCCGTCGCCTCCTCACCCGTTCCCAAACCCGCCACGCAACCCACCGACACGTGGCGCAAAAGTAGCGGTCAACGCTAAATATTTTTTATTTTCAGTTTTTAACCTTATCCCCACCCCTCCCTTATAAATCTCCCTTCCGCTCCCTTCATTTCTTCCACCTCTCACACAGTATTCACTACAATCCAATTTCATTGCAAACAACATTTCCAATATTAATTTTAATTTTAATTTTAAATAATTATATCTAACCCTTCTCCACCATTAGCCTTTTCATTCTAAGGACAATTAGAGAATGGCGTTGAGTATGACTCACCAGATCGGAAGCTTGGCCGGAGCGGCGGCGGTGGCGGCGACGGTTGATTCCTCGGCCGGAGACTCGAACGCGGCGGTGAGTGCGGTGTCCTGGAAGTCCCCGGCGGCGAGTCTGAAGTGCAAGGTGATGAGATCCGAGGGCGGGGAGCTCTCGCCGCCGGTGAGTCCGTGCAGGTCGGCGGCGCTGGGAGCGGTGCGGGCGGATCTGACGGCGGCGTGCGAGGTGTTCGAGAAGGAGAAGGAGAAGGAGAAGGAGCACGGCGGCGGGGGGAAGCAGGGAGGCGGCGTGCCGGTGTATGTGATGATGCCGCTGGACAGCGTGACGGCAGGGAACGGGGTGAACCGGCGGAAGGCGGTGAACGCGGCGATGGCGGCGCTGAAGAGCGCGGGGGTGGAGGGGGTGATGATGGACGTGTGGTGGGGGCTGGTGGAGAGAGAGAAGGCAGGAGAGTACAACTGGGGAGGGTACGCGGAACTCCTGGAAATGGCCAAGAAGCACGGCCTCAAGGTGCAGGCCGTTATGTCTTTTCACCAATGTGGCGGAAACGTTGGGGACTCTTGCACGTGAGTATTATTATTATCATTATCATCCCATCTCTTCTTTTCTTTTTTCTTTGCCATTAAAATGTTAAATACTTTCTTCATTGCTTCATTTTTTATAGGATTGCTTGTTTTTACAGACTAAGGAAGCTTGTAGAGATGAGTAGAATGAAATTAGTATTTGTAGTCGTTGATGAACCACAGTTATCATGTTTTTGTCCACAATTAATTTTCGTTGCAATATCTAATGCACAGTTTTTAGTAGATTTTTTCCTTTGTGTTAAAGTGTCTTCACTATTTCATTTACAAGCCTGGAAATCAACGAAATTCTATTCGACCAAGCTAGAATTGAACTAAATTTTATTCAGACCAAGCTAACCAACCACTTTTAGGTAGTTTAATACCATTTGCATTGGTTTGACAACAAAAATGTCTTTTTTATAGGATATTATATTTCTTATGTATAACTTTTTCTGCTTTTTATAATTTTGTGCAATTATGAAATAAAAATAAAAATATTTAATGTTTTGGAAATTTAAAAATATTTATTATAAGTAAAATGATTACGAAGAAAATTTTGTTTTATGGTGTGTTTGGACGAGGAATTTTACAAATTTAAAGAATTTTAAATTCTTGGTATTTGAATTACTTTGATTTCAATTTCTATCATTCTTAAAATATTTTGTTTGGATAAATCAATTTAAATTTCTCAAATTTTAAATTGTTGGGTTGGATATGATAATTTGATTCTACCATGATAAAATTGATTTTAAAAATATATTTATATGTTGAGATTTTTAAATTAAATTTTATAAAAATAAATATTAGCTAATTTTTAAATATTTAATAATTTTAAAAATTAATATTAGAATAATATTTAATAATTTTAAAAATATTTTTGAATATTTAATAATTAAAACTTGAAGAGATAAGAGATAAGATAAAATATATAAGTAAAATAAGAAGAAAAAAATTATGAGAAATTTCAAATTCTTGCTTTTTTGGGAGAATTTGAAATTCTACTATTTTAAAGAATTTCACAAATGTATGAATTTTAAATTCCTTATAAATTCTTCATCCAAACAAGATATTTCACCTCAAAAAATTTGAAATTATTCAAATAAATGAATTACTCCATTTAAATTCTTCATCCAAACACACTATTAGGTAATTTTAACATGATTGATAGGAAATTTTATCTATCTTTTAAACATGTAGTTTGAGGTTGGATTTTTTTTTATTTGAGTATGAAAGAATATTTGCTAGAAACTTAATCCTTTAGAATCTTAATATTTTGGAAAACAAGTTCGATACATAATTAATTATATACAATGTATAATGTTTGAATAATGAAATTTGTTTGGTCGAGCAATTTGGATGAACATGCACCGTGGAAATGTTATTCTGTCTCTTTTGAGGAAAATGTAGGATGTGAAGATCTTGAATTCTCATTTATCAACTGAATTTGTTTTTATTTTTTGGTCATGTAAGTAATTTTTTTAAGGCTTAAATTAAAATCTCTTTACGGATTTTTGAAAACTGCATAGGATTTTTGAAAACTGCATAGGATCTTCATCCGAGAATATGTGGTTATTGTTTTTTGGAGTTTGATGATAATTGAGAATAAGAGGCGTACCGTGCACGGTGACGTTGAAAAAAATTTCGTGAAATGTAATTTCACCGAAACAAAGAAAAAGTTTCGTGAAATGTAAAATTAACGTGTTAAAGGGGTTTTGTGATGGGAGATGAAAAAGCCATGAGACACATGTGAGGTTGGACTTGTTGTATCACTTTGCTTCTAAATGTAGTATTCATCATTCTATGAACGAACTAGGAACCTGGAATTATTGGATCTTGAGAATTGTGTAAACTTTATTGATTATTATTTAGCCCGTTCCCTTTTACTTAAATTATTTACTGTTCTAAGTCAATTTTAATTGAATGGTTTAAACATGATTATTATACTTATTTTTAATGTATTTTTATTATATTTTTTGTGGGGTAACAGATGAGTTTTTTTTAGGTAACACATATTTTTTATTCTAATTACAATAACTTAAAATAATTCTAAATAATGTCTATATCGTTACTTAGAGAGGCGTGGTGTGCACGGTGCAGCGAGTCTTATATTTGTGGTCCTAGTGAAAAGTATACATAAAAACACGAGGAAAGAGT